TGAGAACATCACACTCTGTTCATTTACTGTTTTAGCCTGTGCTTAAAACAATGGCAAAAGCACTAGTTGCTAAATTCTCCACAAGTGAACTGCTTATAAAAGTTACTGTCATTCAAACCCTCAAGAGTAAATCCCCCCAGAGAACTGCAGTTGTACCCTAAAAGTCTGGGTTTTTTTTAGGGCAGATAAAAATGGTGCAAAAACTATCAAAGGCTACAAAGGAGGGGCTTTTGTTTCTTTAATGGTCTGCTTATTTTTCTTTTACTCAGGGTTTCCATACCACCCCAAGCACGTGCTCACATTCAGGATTTATCATATCCCCTCAAAACATAATAAATTTCTCTACTCTAGCTTAAGGGATCCATCAGTTAAAATGTTAGTCTTTCATCTTTATTACCCTCCCATTAAAATGAAAGAAACCGGGACTCACTTCAGTTTAGAAGAAGCAATTTGGTTGGTAATGTCCTTACTACTCAAGTCTTTACAAAAGGAGAAAAGTGCATTAGAGCTTATATTTCACACATATATCTGACTAAGAACCAAGTAAACCTTTCAGATGCATACTATGTTAAATTTAATAATATTCTTTGATTAGATTATTTTATTGCAACGTTTTGCCATTATCAGTCATTTCCCAAACACATTTACGTTAATAAAACCTGCAAGGTTTTTTTTTGTTATTGTTGTCTCTGTGTGCATATGTGCAAAGGCTGCCTTTTCTTCTACAGCTGTTAGATCTGAAATGGACAGATTAATAACTAACCATCACATGGACTAGGTTTTCTTGTACGTTGCACCAGTAACCCTTTGCTATAATGAGGACACAAAGAGCCTCACATCAAGGCTGCGCCTCTTCTTCATAACTCAAAAGTGTCACAGTGGCAATAGCCTCTAGTGCTATTTGTCTTTAGTGCAGTTGTGACACTTCGGCATGATCCATAATTTGGCAGCTATTTACCGTGACATTTCCCTTCAGTGCAGCCATAACATTCAGCGAAGCCATTATTTGGTTCCATTTACCATATAAATTGTATTGTTGTGCATGCATGCTAGCAGCTATATTAGGCACCTGAAAATGAGTAAATCTTGTAAAACAGATACTAACAGCTATTCAGCAGTGGAGTTTCTTTTTCTAGCTCAGAGTGAAGGAAAAGCCAGTGAACAAACAGACATTTCTGAATGCTGCTGCAAACTTTCCCCTGAGCAATTGCAATTACCTGTATTTGCACAGCATGGTGTTGGTTGTACTTGGCAACTGGTTTCCTCTTTTTTAAAAAACAACATTTTAAATTAATTTTTAAAGATATTAAATGTTTTAAATTAATTATTAAAGATATTAAATGGTTTCAGCATAACAGGCCAGTAGAAATCTGGTAAAACATGGCTTAAACGACAAGCCGGTATGCATATTGAAAAATATATGGATCTAAAAGATGAAAAATAATTAAATTATATGACCAACCATTCCTGACATCTTTTTCATGAAGCAATCTGTTTGGCTATAGGTAAAACAAAAAAAAAGCAAAACTGCAGATATCACTTCTGCAAACATGTCATCCATAGGTATCCAATTGCACTAAAAGATTTAAATTAAGACACCATAGAAAATGCTGCAGCTTAAACAGTTGTTCTTATTGAAATTTTCTATCATGTGTAGTAGGATATTTCCTAGGCAAATATTTATAATCATCCTTTTGAGAAGCGTTTGAAGGCTGGGGTCCAAAGTTCTGTGCATGCAAAGGAGGTTTCCTGGCCTGTTTTCCATTATAGCCCTTTGTGCCTTTGGAAAGCTGCTCCAGAAAGCCAGGTTACCCTCTAGAACAGGATTCAGTGCAGTTCGCTACTAGCAACCCCTCCCTGAAAAACAGAAACATTTCCCACTCATATACAGGCATCCTGGCTTAAGTATTATTGTTAATATCTTGCAGAGAGTTGACAGTATTTTTTGTACTCTGAATGTTCATTCTGTCCTTTCACCCCCTCTGCCCACCATCCATGCCATTGCCTATTTCTGTGTTTCCAGTGCTTCAGTACTAATTATATTTACCACTGTTCACTTACTCAGACAGCATATTTCATACTGTGGCCAGTTTACAGTAAAGGGAAAAATAATGTGTATATGTGTAACTATTCTTCACAAACTTGTGAATAATCAACAGACTCAGCCATGCTAGGGTACACTCTTTTGTATTTTTAAGAAATATATGTAAACATAACATAAAAGAACCAATAGTTATATTTATTCTTTAACTGTCAAACCATACTAACAAGAACAATTTCATTAAACATTGATTGAGTCATAGAAAAAAAACAATGCAAAGGTTAAAAATCACATTTAGTGTAACATGGGAGTAGAAAATACAGCTACACTAAATAGGTGTGCCAAAACCCTGTAATTTAGTAATCCTGGAAAGTGAATTTCAGATCTAAAAAGAATGATGTTTCAATTATAATAAATACAGTCCAGAATAAGCACTCATGTCTCACTCATTGCGGGGTGGGTTTTGTTTATTTTTTTCTGGATTATAGGTAATATGAAGCCCAGTTAACTCTTCATAGCAAGTGCATTTGCTGCATTTAAATATCACAACATGTGAAGCCGAGATGAATTTCTAAAATGGATTCAGCATGAAGTTTTAGTAATCAGGACTCCTAGGCAGATGTTTGCTGGGTACTTAAAGCACACATCTCTGCTTCACTTATTATGGTGTTCACCATAATGAGCATACAACAAACATGCTTATTACGTACTGTGTTAACTATGTCATATGTTAAGAGAACACACTAAAATCATAGTGCCTCTGCGGCTTTTATGCAAATGTCAGTTATCGTGGCCCGTCCCTTATAGTTGAGATTCTGTTTCAACTGGCTTTGTTTGCATAGAATTACTTCTTTAAAGAAGTCCCAGACTGAAATCATAGATCTATGAATATGTGCTTTTAGCACTACAGGAATCAAGAGGATTTACGCATGCGCAACCGGGAAAAACTGTAACTTAAGGCTGTAATACTAGATAACTATTTAGAAGTAAATCCCATTAAAATCAATGGGACTTTTATGTATGAAAGTATATAAGGGAGGCAAATGTTTTCCGATCTTTCAAGTAAGTCCATTAAATGACAGAATTCAATTGTGAGCTTCAAGTGCTTATTCAGGTAACCGATATGAAAATAATGGCTAGCAGGCAACCTGTCTACATGGTGAAAAAGGTAAAGGTAAAGGTTCCCTTGCTCGAAAGCCAGGCGAATCCGACTCTAGGGTTGTGGTACTCATCTCCGTTTCAGAGCTGAAGAGTCCAAAGACATTTCCGTGGTCATGTGTTCGGCATGATTAAACACCAAGGCGCACGGAATGCTGTTACCTTCCCATTGAAGTGGTACCTATTTATCTACTTGCAATTTCTTGCTTTCGAACTGCTAGGTTGGCAGGAGCTGGAACTAGAGACGGGAGCTCACTCCGTCATGCGGCACACTCGGGTCTCGAACTGCTGAACTACCGACATTTCACAGCCTGCAGTTCAGCATCTTAACCACTTGAGCCACCGCAGCACATGGTGAAAGGTTCTCTTAAATATGGCTCTCATGTCTAAAGCTGAATTATTTTGTCAATGCTTGTGCTGCACTGAGGAACATATAGCTGCTTCCACTTTTTTCATCACCGAAGGGGAGCCAAACACTTCATTGTAATAAGAATGTTTCCATAGAGTAAACAACTACTAAGAACATTCAGAATGTATGTCGAGTTACACCTATCAAGCAAAATGTCCACCAGCCCAATCCAAAAATCCCGTTAAACTAAAGTACTTGAATTTAAGCCACTCAGGTCCCTTTGAACTAAGTAATAAAAGACCCATGTAATAAAAGACCCTTTTATGAACCATAACAGGAAGTGCTTACAAAAAGGAGAATCTATTCAGATTAATAAAAATTAGGATGTTCCTAAAAAATACTGCAGATTGCCAAAATGATAGGAAAGAACTATACTTCAAAGAACGACATGTATGCTGTTTTTTAAAGGTGCATCCATGGCATGTTTATTCCATGTGTGCAGCTTCTGTATGAGGCCTATTTGGAAACAGCACAGACTTCTGTGCATTGTCTACTGAAATGTGCTATGCAGCACTTTAAATT